TGTACATATGTTTGTAGCAGGCAAAAATAATCGAGATAGACCCATGGTTCCATTGGAGAATATGCATAGAATCACTTTCTGAGTCGATTTATGTATGTCCGTCCGTCTGTCCGTCTGTCCATGTTAAATTGCAAACAAAGCACAGGTCGCATTTATGATCCGAATTGGATGAAATTAAGCACAGCTCATTTGTTTGGCTCAAGGACGAACTCTATTGAAATTGGGAAAAATCGGTTCAGATTTAGATATAGCTCCCATATATATTTTCGTCCGATTTAAGGTAAATGGTGTACCAAAGTCCCTATATAGCTTTCAATTTGCACGAAATTTGGCACAGCGTAATGGCTAAGGTCTAGAATGATGTGTGCTAAGTTTCGTGAAAATCGGTTCAGATTTCGATAAAGCTCCCATATATATCTTCGTCCGATTTAAGGTGAATTGTGTACCAAAAACCCTATATATCTTTCGATTTGCACGAAATTTGGCATATTGTACTAAATTAAGTCTAGAGTGATGTGTGCTAAGTTTCGTGAAAATCGGTTCAGATTTAAATATAGCTCTCATATATATTTTTGTCCGATTTAAAGTAAATGGGGCACCAAAGTCCCTATATATCTCTCGATTTGCACGAAATTTGGCATAGCGTACCAAATTAAGCCTAGAATGATGTCTGCTAAGTTTCGTGAAAATCGGTTCAGATTTCGATATAGCTCCCATATATATCTTCGTCCGATTTAAGGTGAATTGTGTACCAAAGACCCTATATATCTTTCGATTTGCACGAAATTTGGCATGGCGTACTCAATTAGGTCTAGAATGATGTGTGCTGAGTTTCGTGAAAATGGGTTCAGATTTAGATATAGCTCCCATATATAATTTCGTCCGATTTTATGTAAATGGTGTACCAAAGTCCCTACGTATCTTTCGATTTGCACGAAATTTGGTATAGCGTACTGAATTGAGTCTAGAATGTGAGAATCAGTTCATGTCAATGTTCTTTCGAAAAGCCGGAGTCTGTTAGGAGACATATGTAGAATATACCCATAGTGGTGAAGGGTATGATATAGTCGGCCCAGTCCGCCTTAACTACTTTCCTTACTGGTTTTCTACGGAAAATTTCTTGCAATTTTTTTCTATAGAAGGGTTTTTTTAGTCTTTATTACCCATTTTTTGAGGGATCCCCTACCCGGTCCATTCAACCATCTGTTTTTTTGTTTTGTTCTTGTAATTCAAATAATGATCTGGTCAAAGGAATGTTGTTAAGAGCCAAACCAACAAACAATGACCAACCACATGTGGAATATAAATTTTTCGGACCACAAAGGCAGGATGGTGGCTCCTTGGCTTCCTTAAGACGAGAACATCATTTGCCCAGTAGCAGCAGAAGAAGACAAAGTTGAGGTTTATTTTAAAAGGAAATTTATAACTCCTTAAAGTATGCAATGGAAAAGCCACTAAACTAACCATCTATAAATATTCCGCAATTTTTAAGTTTTGTAATTCTTAGTTGGTACTTCTCTTGGCAAAATATTTCCAGATTGCCGGGGGGGCTTTGGTATGCATAGGTTATGTGGGGGGCAAAAGTCAAAGTTCTACATGCGGATCTTCTTCACGAACAACATGTTTCGCTTTTATTGGCCAGCATAGCCATTAGAGATGCCAGGGCAGTTTGACCACTTTTTTGTTGGTGTTGTTGCTGTTGCTACTTTGGAGGAGAATATGTTTGCCTGTTTCTCGCTCACTTGGGTGTTTACGATATTTTTATTAGTCTGCGTAGGTAATTGTAGTAAATTTCCACTTTGTTCTTCTTTTTCTATGCTCGAACTATGGGCCCATAGTTCGAGCATGTGTTCGCAGCATCAGCCATAGCGGAGTGCAGCCCATCAGCCATCCATCCATCCATCCATCAACAGTTTAGTTAAGTAAAAGTTCAAATTCAAGTTTTTACAACAAATACTTGTTGACCATAAAAATCTACTAATCATCCCCCTGTCCGCTTCCGTGGCCATTAAATTGCATCAATCACCCCTACCCCGTAACGCACCCAAAAGAAAAAAGCCTTCGGTGTTTTATGACTTTTAAATGTTCGGACAATGAAACGTGTGAATGACCAGCAAGGTCCATAATTTTCTTTTTGATCTCATTTTTTTCTCTAATGCTAATGCATCGCTAATATTTGCCGCATCATTTCCCCACACCCCGCCCCAAACCTCTTGTGTGGCCCTTTTTATTTTAGTGCACAGAACTAATGTCAAATTACTTTTAGTTTTTGTTGTTGTTAATAATTAACTTTGTAATTTCAACGAGCCAAACAACCAGGGGCTAATTAATTTAATTTCCTTTTTTTCTCCCCACCACCTGAACCCCCTTCCGAAAAATAATCCCAAAAAAATTTTATTTCCAAAAAATTGCCTCCAGTAGAGAACGTGACAATGACAATTGTAGAAATATTTTTTTTTTGTATTTTTTATAATACGTTTTATTTAATTTTTTTTTATTTTCTACAAAAAAAAAAATAGTAATAAAAAAACCAGACCCTTATCTCAGGTCCACATTTCTTCTAGCGACAATCTCCGAATCAGCTTCACATTTAAATGTCATGACATTTTTTGTTTTTGGTCTCACTGCCTTTGTCATATTCTAAGGAAATTTAAGCCTTTCTCTTGTTTTGTTTTGAGGGTATTTCCACACCTGCACCCCTCCCCTCCCCTCACCCACACTTCCCCACCTCACCCTACCGATTTTTGTCGCAAATTGTAATAGGTTTTCGGGAACATTATATTTTATTTAAAATAAAATTCTAATTAATATTTATACACTGGCAAATAGTCACAGAACTATTTTCTTTGGAAAGGGGTAATAAAAGGAATGATGGGATTTGAAAAAAAAAATAAAATAATTGAAAAAGCTATATCGACAACTTCTGGAGATTTAAAAAAATAATTTCTATTAAATTTTTTATTTTTTTTTAATGGTTAAAAATCTATCACCCCAAAATATACACCCCCTTTTATTTGGTTACCTGTTCCTCATTATGATAATTCCATATTAGCAAACAACCAACCAACATATTTCTATATGAATTTCTCTGAATAACTAGCCTGGATAAACTGTCAAAAACTGCATGTCCATGTGATGCTGAAGAAACAACACACACACATACACCCACATATCTAGGTGTGTTTGAATGTGTGTGTGTGACAACTAACGGGCATATTATTATATCCTTTTGTTCAGGTTTTTTTTAACAAAATATTTTCTGTTGGTTTTTTGGATTCTTTCGATGTCATTGTTTTGGATAATTTACATACAAACATGGTCATCATGCCCCCATCTCATCCACCTCCAGCCCAGGAGATAATCCTCATCATCCGCTGTCATATGCGAAGTGAAGGCTAGTGACTGTGTCACACAACATGCCATCTAAAAAATGTTGATGATGTGATGAAAGCAAAGCAAAACCCCTGTGGGGCATTTTGGCTTATAACAAAAAGGGGGGGAGGATCAGATGTTCGTTTTGCTGGTACCGGTCATCCTGCACCCAAGTCCGCTGAACATTTCTAAATTACATTTACCTTTAATGAGATTTGCAAATAATAGAACAACAATAATTGGATGTATGCAAAAATGTAACTGTGAAACAAAAGTTGCTGAATAGCTTACAAAAATTAGATGAATAGCATAGAAATGTTACTGAATGGCTTTATTTATCGAGAAAGGTTGCTGAATGGATTGATTTTCTATAGAAAAGTTGCTGAATAACATTTTTTCTGTAGGAATGTTGCTGAATACCCAGAAAATGTTTAAGAATCGTTTCAAAACCCTTGCTGAATAGCTAAAACATTTGCTGAATAAAATTCAATTTACATAAAAGTTGCTGAATACCTTCCTTCTTTATAGAATTGTAGCTGCATAGCATAAAAACGTTGCTGAATAGCTTATTTTGATTTAAAATATATATATATATACTTTTATATAAAAATGTTGCTGAATAACCTAAAAATGTTGCTAAATAGTTTATAAAACTAGCTGAATAGCTTAAAACATTTGCTGAATGACATTCTTTGTGCATGAACGTTGCTGAATGACTTCCTTTTTTTATAGAATTAGCATATTATATCATGGAAAAGTTGATGAATAATGTCTACGAAATGCTTAATATTCTATAAAAAAAAATTAGCTGAATACCTAAAACTTGTCGCTGAATAGCCAAAAAATTGCTGAATAGGTTATTATATTATAGAAACCTAGCTGAATGACCTAGTTAATAACTGAAATGGCTAGTTTTCAATAGAAAAGTTGTTGAATTGCTTAAAAAGTAGCTGAATAGCTACTTTCTTCGAAATGTCTAATATTCGGTAAAATTTGTTGCTGAATATCTCAAAAATGTTGCTGAATAGCTTAAAAAACTGCTGAATAGGTTATCTTAATAAAGAAAACTAGCAAACTAGCTGAATAGCTTAGTTAATAACTGAAATTGCTAGTTTGGAAAGTAGCTGAATTGCTTAAAAACTTTTGCTGAATAGCGTATATTGCTACAAAAAGTAGCTGAATAGCCTAGATCTTTATTAAAATGCTGTGAATTTTCTTCGAAATGCCCAATAATATATAAAAAAATGTTCTGAATACCTCAAAAATGTTGCTGAATAGCTTAAAAATCTGCTGAATAGATTATCATATTATAGAAATCTAGCTGATAACTGAAATGGCTGGTTTTCAATAGAAAAGTGGAAGAATGGCTTAAAAACTCATGCTGAATTGCTTAAAAATTAGCTGAATAGCATATATTTTGCCTAAAATTCTATTAAAAAATTTGCTGAATAATTTTTTTATAAATATTTTTTAAAATTTATTTATTTTAAATAACTAAAACAAAATTAAACTATTTATTTTTTTAACTTTAATTTATCAAAAAGAAAATTCATCGTTTGGCAATTGCTTTTCTTCCGATAAGGAACTCTAAACGAAATACTGTAAAAAATCCTCCAACCTCCGATCAATCAGGTTTTCGTTTCCCCGATCACTTTAAAATTACCATTTATCAGTTTCGGATCTGTCGTTGTGGGTACGGGGGGTTTCTTTTCGCGTTGCCTTTCAATCCAACGTCTGGCAAAGGGTGAGAGTAGTGTCGAGTCCACACTATCAATTTTATGGGTACCCAAGGCAAAGGTGACGGCCAAGGCTACGACAATGGTTATCACGGCACCTACCATCGTGTAGAAGAGATAGGAAATGTGATAGACTTTCAGGGAGGGTGGGCTGAAATAAGGAGAAGAAAGACAAATTATAAAACTAAGAAATTGTTTGGGTTCTGAAAAACTTACCTCACTTCCTCCAGCACCTCGGTAATATTTTCCGCCACCTGGCTCATTGGTATCAGGTCCACAAACGTGTAATTACAACCCACAGTTGTAAAGGGTTTGCGAATATATTTCACCGCTCCACTGGCCAAGTCCAGTTGGGCCGAAACACACATCCACACCATGAAGGCCAAACTGACAAAGCCTCCCACCAGGGCACCCTGAAAGGAATTTCGAAAAATGATTATTTTTTCTTCATTCTAATCAAAATCTACCTCCTTACCGTTCCGCCCACCCAGGGTATCATAAGACCCGCCGTGAAAATTCCCAGCAGAGGTCCATTGGCCACCGAAGACAGGGTAATACTTAGCTGCAGCACCGTTCCCAATTGTTCGACAACAAAGACCAAACCCACACAGAGGGCTCCGAACACGACAACCACAAAACGCATAATGAAGGCGGTTTGACGTTTGGTCAACGGTTTCTTGACAAACATTTTAAAGAAATCTTCTAAAATGACAGCTGACATGGAGTTGAGACCTGTCGACAGGGACGAGAGGGCAGCACTGAAGACACCGGCCACAAAGAGACCAGGCAGGCCGGGGTAGTCCTTTAGGGTTTCCATAACCAAAAGGGACAGAAGTTGATCCTTACGTTTGGCAAGCTATAGGGGGTGGAAATTAAAATCGATATGCAATGTGAAAAAAAACTTTGCTGAATTTGAAATAAAAATTTGCTGAATAACTTAACATTTCTGAATAAGTTAATTTCTTATGGAAAATATATAGAATATATAAGTTTGTATATAAACATTTTCCTTAGCTTCGAAATCTTGCTGAATGGGTTAATTATTTTGCTGAATAGTTGAAAAATTAGCTGAAAAGGTTACTAATATAATACAGTTGCTGAATAGCTATGTATGTTGTAGTAAAAATAGCAGAATGGTTTGAAAAAATTTGCTAAATAACTTAAAAATGTAGCTGAGTAGCTTAAACATTCCGCTGAATAGCTTAATTTCTGCAAAAATGTCTCAAAATAGTTTATATCACCTCCGAAAAGTTGCTGAATAGCTTAATATGGTGCTGAATACCTTAAAAATGTAGCTGAATAGCTGCATTTTAGTTATACTTCTAAAGAAAAGTTGCTGAATAGCTAGATCATGCTGCTGAATAACTTTAACGTATCGCTGAATAGGTTAAAAAGGTTGCTGAATGGCTAACCAGTTTACAGTATAGCTAAAAACATTGCTGAATAGCTTACATCTCTACAGAAACTTTGCTGAATAACATATTTTTCATTAAAAAGTTGCTGAATAGTTTACAAGTACTGCGGAATAGCTTTAAAATGCTGTTGAATGGCTCAAAAATTTTGCAAAATTGCATAAAACTGTTGCTGAATACCTTAAACAAGTTGCTGAATAGCATAAAATGTTGCTGAATAAGTTAATTCTTTATATAAATGTTGCTGAATAGCTCATAAGCATTGATTTTTGAGGAAAGCTAAAAATTTTAACCTTAATATATTGCTGAATAGCATAAAAATGTCGATGAATAGGTCATTTCTTTATATAAACGTTGCTGAATAGCCTACTTTTCATAAAAAAGTTGCTAAATATCTTTAAAATACTGCTGAAAGTCTCAAAAATATTGCTAAATAGCATTATGATGTTGCTGAATAATATAAATATCTTGCTGAATGGCATATAACTGTTGCTGAATAGCTCATAAGGATGGATTTTCATGCTTATATAACTAAAAATAGCTAAAAACATTGCTGAATAGCTCTCTTCTCAATAGAAATGTTGCTGAATAAGAATATTTTCAAAACCCATAATTGCGCAGTTTTTTGTAGAATTTTTTCAAGACCCATAATCGTCTTGTTTCAAGATTTTAAAATTTTTAAGCAGATTTTTTAAAATCTAAAAGAGTAGATTTTTTAAAATTTAAAAGAGTAGATTTTTTAAAATAAGGAATTTTTTTTTCTAAAATCCCATAAAATTTCCTCACCTTCGTTTCCAATGGATCACATTCCGAATAGGTGGCATAGATCAGCAGACCACTATAACCACATATTACCAAGAAGATCAGAACACCCGTAATAAAATACCAAATGGCCTTACGGGCACTTGCCAAAGTGGGTAGCGAGAGATAACGTTGGATCATATTTTGATTAATGGCATTCGATTTCAGCCAATGTGGCACCCCACCAATAACCAGAGACCATATGGTATAACGTTCAAATATGTCAAAGGTGAAACTAAAAGCAAAAAAAAAAAAAAAAAAAAATTTTAATTTAAAAAATTATTTAAAAAAATCTTCATCCTTACTTTGGTGCCTCAATCCGCCCACTATCCATGGCCTTTTTAAATACCACACTGGGTCCACCAATATCCATGGTGCCCTTGATCATAATCAGTACCATGGCACCGCACATCAGTAACGTTTGCACGACATCTGTCCACACAACGGCTTTTAAGCCACCCTTTTAAAGAAGAAATCAAAGGTGATTATTTCAAAGCGCCTTGAAGTATGCTTTAGATTTTGATTTCTTTTTTAATTTAAGTAAAGCTTGGGTGGTTCTTTAATGGGAATTATTATTATTATTTTTTATATTTTAACTTACCACACATGTATAGAAAATACACACCAGACACACCATTGGTGTGACGAGATGAATATTGGCCCCGGTGGCCTGATTAAATGCCAAGGCTGGTACATAGATCACAATTGGTAGCCACAGCATCTAGGGAAAAGGGAATTAATAGAGGATTTTTAAGGGGAATTTGAGTCATTTGTTGTTGATATTTTTGTCTGGGATACTTACTGTGCCACATATAAACAATATCGAGCCAAATAACCGCACCTTTTTGTCGAAGCGGGATTCTAGATACTGTTCGGAAAAAATTGTTTCGGAAAAGGGCAGACAAAATTAGATTAAAAAATCGTTAAAGTTTTTTAATCGAGTTTAAATTTTATTAAGAAAACAATTTTAAAAAATAACTTATAATCCCTTACCTGATATGTGGAAATTAGTTTCAGCTCATGATACACCGGCAAATAGAAATAGTGCATTAGGAAACCCATGGAGATCATGGCCACAATAATATATAAATATTGGGTGCCATATAGATAGATTTCTGTTGGGGTACCTAGTAAGGTTATACCCGATATGAAACTGAAAAAAATAACGTACAAAAAATTTAAATAAATTAATAATAATAAATTAAGACATTATGTTTATTGCATATTTATAGGCGTTCATAGCCGCTACATAACGAAACCAGCCAATATTCGGTATTTTGTGAATAATGGGCACAGTTTTCAACCGAATTAATTCCTATTCGATATGTTTGTATCACATTATGTCGCAAATCTGTCTGCTAAAAATTATCCATATTGATAATTTTTTCAGGGTGATCCCCACATAATGCTAACCCTCCAATATTTGGTATTTTGTGCAGATTGGTCCCGTTTTCCCCACTGAATTAGCTCAAATTTTGTATTTAAGGTTTTTATTGGATAGAAAATCTTCCAATCGATATTACAAAAATTGGTTCACTTTTCGGGATAGCCCCCATATATCGGTAGACGAATTTTGGACACATCTTTTAACCTAGTCAGTTGTAATTCAATATTTGTGATTCTCATTGAGTTTTAAATCCTACCTACCAAAATTTGTAAATATTGATCCATTTTTTAGGCTGGACCCGAAATAACGTATTTCCGAATTTACGTATTTTGGGAATTTTCAATAGAATTGGCTGTAATTTGGTATTTTGAGTACTGATTAGGTATCTAATATTTGCATATAAAAATTTTAAATATTGGTCCATTTTTAGGTTAACTCCGAAGATAGGGTACCTTCCGAATTTCTGTATTTTGGGGCTATTTTTCATGAAAAGTGGCTATAATTTGGTATTTTGTGTTCTCATGGAGTAACAAATCTTCCTACTCCATGAGAAAATTAAAACCAGTAATGAAAGTAGTAAAGTCGGACTGGGCCGACTATATGATACCCTTCACCACTTTGGGTATATTCTACATCTGTATCCTAACATATATAGAATATATCTGAACCGATTTCAGGGAAACTTGCCGGAGACTAATTTATATTACATCACTACGCTGTGTAAACCAGCCTAGCTATGGATATTTTCACGAAGCTTAGCAACATCATTCTAGACTTAATTCAGTACCCTATACCAAAATTCGTGCAAATCGAAAGATATATAGGGACATTGTTGCACCATTTACATAAAATCGGAGGAAAATATATATGGGAGCTATATCTAAATCTGAACCGATTGTCACGAAACTTTGCACACATTATTCTAGTATCAATTCAGTACGCTTTGTCAAATTTCGTGCAAATCGAAGGATATATAGAGACTTTGGTGCACCATTTACATAAAATCGGACTAAAATATATATGGGAGCTATATCTAAATCTAAACCGATTTTCAAGAAATTTTACACATATCGTTCTAGACTTGATTCAGTACGCTATGCCAAATTTCGTGCAGATCGAAAGATATTTAGGGACTTTGGCGCACCATTTATCATAAATCGGACGAAAATATATATGGGAGCTATATCTAAATCTGGACCGATTTCAAGGAAACTTAACACACATCACTCTAGACTTAATTCATTACACTATGCCAAATTTCGTGCAAATCGAACGATATATAGGGACATTGGTACATCATTTACATTAAATCGGACGAAAATATATATAGGAGCTATATCTAAATCTGGACCGATATTTCCCAATTTCAATAGGGTTCGTCCTTGGGCCAAATAAGTGACCTATGCCAAATTTCACCCAAAACGGATCATAAATGCGACCTGTACTTTGTTCACAAAAATACATGGACAGACAGACGGACGGACATGCATAAATCGACTTAAAAAGTGATTCTATGCATATGCTAAAAAGGAACCATGTGTCTATCTCGTTTCCTTTTGCCTGTTACAAACATATGCACAAAGACATAATACCCTGTACCACAGTGTGGTGAAGGGTATAAATATTGGCCCACTTTTTGGTATTGCACCCACATAGCGCTTCGAACAGATTTTCGGTATTTTGTGAATTTCGGACACGTTTTCCAACAAAAATGGCTGTAATTTGGTGTTTTGGTTTTTCATGGAGTATTAAATCTTCCTACTGAAAATTATAAATATTGGTCCTCTATTTCGTACAGCTCCAGTTCGAGCCAAATTTCGGTATATATGGGATTTTTGACAATTTTTTTCAACCGAATCACCTTTAATTTGATATATTGTGTTTTCATTTGGTACAAAATCTCTCTACCGAAAATCACACACATTGGTCCCTGTTTCGGGGTAGCCCCCATATAACGATACCATCCGATTTTCGATATTTCTCAACCTATTGGCTGTAATTAGGTATTTTAGGATCTAATGATCTAACAAATCTTCCTATGAAAAATGTTCAATATCGGTGCACGTTTTGGTATAGCTCCCATATAACGATACCTTCCGATTTTCGGAATTTTAGGGATCTTGGATAAGTTTTCTCAACCGAATTGCCTGTAATTTAGAATTTTTGATTTTCATTGAATAGAAAATATCCCTACCAAAAATTATCCACATTGGTTTATGTTTTGGGGGTGGTCCCCTTATAACGATACCTTACAAATTTCAGTATTTTAGGGAGCTTGGGCACATTGCCGAATTGCCTGTAATTTGGTATTCTGGGTTCTCTTTGGGTAGAAAATCTCCCAACTAAAAATTATACACATTGACTCATGTTTTGGGGGTTACCCCCAAGTAAAGTTACGTTCCGAATTTCGATATTTTTGTGGTATTTGTGCAAATTATTCAATCGAATTGCCTGTAAATTGGTATTTTGAGTTTTCATTCAGTAGAAAGTATACCTACCAAAAACTATTCATATTGGTCCATGTTTCCGGGTAGCCCCCAAGTAAAGGTAACATCCGAATTTCGATATTTTTGGGGGCTTGGGCACCAACCGAATTGCATGTAGTTTGGTATTTTGGGTTCTCATTGGATAGAAAATCTCCTTACCAAAATTGATCAATATTGGACTAAATTTGGTTGTAGTCTCCACATAACGGTACTCCCAAATATTCGATATTTTGGGGATTTTATGGTATCTTTTTTAACCAAATTGGCTCTAATTGGTTTTATCAGATTCTTATGGAGTCCAAAATCTTCGTACCAAAAATTATTAATATCGGTCCATATCTTTATAATCACCGTACCAATGTGGGGTACATAGTAAAAATTAGTTCAACTTTTTGCCAAATTTTGGTCGCTTTGGTTTTAGGCCAATATTTCCCTCAAAACCTAATTTTAGGCTTATGATACTAATGAAAGAATTATTCTACATCGAATTTCACTATAGGTCACCGAACAAATGAAATCTGTAGCATTAATATTGACGCATATAAAATGTGTAGCAAATTGGGGTATATAAATAAAAATAAATAAATCTTGTGAAATTTGGTCGTTTTTCACATTATGCGAACATTTGCCACAGAACTTGGTTTTGGAAGTTTATTTATAAAGAAGGAAATATTCTACATCAAATTCCACTATAGGTCACCGAACCCACTATGATTGAAAATACAAATTTTATCGTTATAATCCCTGTATCAATGTGGGGTATATAGTTAAAAATATTGAAAATTTATGAAATTTTGGTCGCATTGGTTTTTGGTCAATTTTTCCCTCATAAGCTAATTATAGGTTTATGATGCTAATGAAAGAATTAGTCTACATCGAATTTCACTATAAGTCACCGAACAAATGAAATGTGTAACGGTAATATTTACCAATATAAAATATGTAGCAAATAGGGGTATATAACTACAAGCAAATAATTCTTGTAAAATTTGGTCGTTTTTCGCATTATGCGAACATTTGCCACAGAACTTGGTTTTGGAAGTTTATTTATAAAGAAGGAAATATTCTACATCAAATTCCACTATAGGTCACCGAAGAAACTATGGTTGAAAATATAAAATTTGCCATTATAATCCCCATATCAATGTGGGGTATATAGTTAAAACTATTTAAATTTTTTTCAAATTTTGGTCGCTTTAGTTTTTGGTCAATTTTTCCCTCATAGCCTAATTTTAGGCTAATGATGCCAATGAAAGAATTATTCTACATCGAATTTCACTATAAGTCACCGAACAAACGAAATGTGTCATTGTAATATTTACCTATATAATATGTGTAGCAAATTGGGGTATATAACTAAAATAGATAATTTTTGTGAAATTTGTTCGTTTTTTGTGTTCTGCAAATATCTTCCTCAAAATCTGATCTTAGATGAATGGCACTAAAGAAATAAATATTCTCCATCAAATTTTACTAGGGGTCACCGTACAAAAGAAGTCTCTAACTCTAATAGTTATTTGTAAAAATTTAATGTAATTTTGGACTACACTTTCCTAGTCATAGAAACGTTGAAGAAAATCCTCCACATGGAAAATTGTGCTCAATTTTTGTCTTATGAACATATTTTAGAAAAAAATTCTATGTCCAATATTTAGTTACAGTTTTTTGTTGTTGTTGTTGTTATTCTTTGTCTTTTGTGACATAATTAATTAATGGCTGTGTTATGTTAACTCTGTGTGGCTTAAGATGCCGCATAACTAAATATTTTAAATTCTTAAAGAAAGTGTGTGTCTGTGTGGAGCGCCTGTTATGTGGCAATTATTAGGAAATTAAAATTTTGAAAATAAATTTCAATACCCTCAATTGACACACACGTTTTTCTTTTGAAATTTTTCAAATTTGCTGAACATTTCAATATTGCTCTGAAAAAATAAAAATATTTTCCCTAGAAAATTTAATTAAATATGTCTCCAAAACAGTTTTAAAAAAATATGTTTTTAAACGACAACTAATTATAAGCTGTTCTGGGCCAATTGGATTTTTTTTTTTATTTTAATTACCACTTGTGCAAAAATTAATGTCTGGTCACACACATACAGATGTTTTCTTATCACTGGAAATTCTATTTCATTCATAATTTTATCTACATCTATAAAAAAAAGTTTATTCAACAAAACACACACACATAAAAGTTGACTACTCACGTTTTTCAAAAAAAAGTACCCCGTTTCCTTATTTCGAAATTTTCCCGCTGTCATACGTACTTATATTTCCATTATT